ACTGCGATTGCTGCTCGGCTGCAGGTCAAGGGTGACGGTTTGTGTAGGGTTTAGAGGGCGCACTCCCGAGCCCGAATTTCGCACTCGTAGGCTTGCAGTTTATAGTAGTGCCAAGGACTAGGAGTAGCATCGGCACCAGTACAGCTGCAAGATATCTGGTTGCGACGGCTAGGCCCACATTTCCTTGGCCGCGCCATGCTTCTACACCCGAGTGAACCCTATATCAGAACCATGAATCAGACACTCAAATCGGTTGCACAATCAAGACCATTCAGAACACAGTGCTATCCTGGTCCAATCCACCGAGTACTTCAACTGAGAGCCCGCTTACCTAAACCCGGGAAGTTAAACGGTTGCTTGCGGATTCTTGAAGTAGCAGATGTTAGGAAGCTTTGGCTGTACGTAAAGTCCAGAACATGATCACTTTCAGCGTTTAAGCCAAAACCCCGCAGCAAGGTCCCACAGAAAACTTGGCAAAGCAGTGCTGTGTCGGAGACTGAATAGCAAGAACCCCTTAGTATCCCTACGCCATAGACCTTGTATGTATGAAGCTTGTTATGGTCTCGGCCCTAAGCCCGCAAGCCCTCAGCATCCCTCAGCCCTTGCAGAACCCTGCTACCCAGCCATTGATTACACAATCTACCTTAAACTATAGAGAAGGGTATATCTCGGGGCCTGCGTTGAATGGAATTGCGTGTTTCTAGAATGTTTGAGTGCGAGCGCTGTTTTGAATGTTGTCGCAGCGTCGTTTGTTGTCTCAAGCTAGTATATCCACTGACTGAGAGGAGCCCGTATAGCAACCCTTCTAGAATCCGTACAGAATCGTTACAGTACCCCATGTAAAACACTTAAAGTAACCCTTACGGTAATCCTTTCGGATCCCGTATGGAACCGTTGTAACCTTTCTGGAACCCTGATAGTATCCTCTAGAACCCGTTTTGTTCCCTTACAGAAACCTTGAAGAATCCTGACAGCACCCTTCAACTAAACCCTCAAACCCCTATACCCCTAAACCCCTCAACCCCTAAGCCCCTAAACCCTATATGTAAATCCTCCAAGGCCTCAACCCTTAAAGCTCTTAACCATAAACCCTAGACCCTCAAACCCTATAAACCCTAACCCCCAAACCATCAAAATCCTAAACCCCTAAACCCCTAAACCCTAAACCCTAAACCCCCTAAACCCTAAACCCCCTAAACCCTAAACCCTGAGTCCTAAACCCTAAACCCCCTAACCCCCAAACCCTAAACCCTAAACCCCCTGAACCCAAAAGCTTCGAAGGCGGGGCCTGCAGCGACTTCATGGACAAACCGATCTGCTGCGACGTGAACAACTGCGTCTACGACCTGAGCGGTGCCTCCACGCCATTGATACAGCTTTTAGGGGTGGAGCTGAGTTATAATTGGGTCAGGGTTGAGAGGTTTGGGGTTTAGGGATGGAGCTGAGTATTTTTTTAAAATTGGGGTCAGGGTTGAGAGATTTGGGGTTTAGGGCCTCCACCTGCAACCGGTTTTATCGCTCAGGGCTTTGGGGTTCAGAGTTTAAGGTCTGTCCTACAGGTTTCCATCGACCATCGCAATTAAACCACAACAACTGGCCGTCTTGCCACCTAGGGCCAAATTCAGATCGCTGGATAATGGAGCTCCCAGGGTCCCATTTTGATGTCCTTTGGCTTTGGATGTTTGAGCAGTGTTTGGAACGCTGAATAATCATCAAAACCTCACCAAAGCGACCGTGACTCAGACCAACCTTTGAAGGATTGGGTAGCGTCTACTTCTACTAACGAAGGTCTCCTTGCCTAAACCGTAAACCCTAAACCCTAAACAAGGGGAGTGCCTGGCAGTTTCGACTACTTCGTGGTTGTTGGAGAGAACCAATGGGGAGTGCCAGAGTCCAACATGACGCTGGAGGCGACATGCTGCGGAAGATTTACGGACCGCTACGAGAACGAGCGCAGGCGGTCCAGGGCACTTTCCAGTCAAGGCAATCGAAGAAAGCAGGCCTTGGTATAGTGCAATGCAACACAGCTTTGATAAGTTATGTTGATATGTATATGCATATACATACATACATACATACATACATACATACATACATACATACATACATACATACCATACATACCATACATACCAAACATACATACATACATACATACATACATACAGACAGACATACATACCTACGTACGTACGTATGTACGTAC